AATATCATAAAAATACTTTCGTATTAATATCTACTAGTAGTAGTAAATCTTTGTGTTTTGTTTTATCTGCTATATTGTTTGATGGCTTAACTATCGTTATTAGTCCTTTAACAGCATTAATAGAAAATCAAGTGGTTAGTAGTAGTAGTAAGATGAATTTTTACTTATTTCAAATATTAATTATATTAAACTATAGACATGTTTGACAAACCTTGGAGTTCCTAGTGCAGCCTTATATGCTTCCATGATAGAAACAGCTATATGTAAAGAAAAAATTTTTGAAGAAATTGCAATAGGGTTTTTAAAAGTATTGTATATAACCCCTGAGAAAGTTGAGCTAAATCAATGTTTTCAAATATTTTTAGATAAGTTATATCAAGAAAAAAAGTTACAGTTAGTTATAGATGAGGCACATTGCATATTAAGTTACCAACATTTCCAGTATGTAATAAAGTTGATTACTATATATATCATAATTCACTATATTTATTTTATTTAATAGAGGAGCCTGGGGAAGATTAGGATTTCTTAAAAAACAATATCCGACTGTACCTTTATTGTTGTTAACTGTGACTGTGTCAAGTGCGCATATTGAAGCTATTCATAAAACCCCAAATCTTGAACAATCTAATTTTGAAATAATTCATAGTACAAATCTATTGCATAAAGAAATCCAGTATGAGGTTATATCAAAAAAAGACAGAAAAGATACAATTATTGGAGATATGGCTAAAATAATTCATACCATTAAAGATGGTAAATCAATTATATATTGTGCATGAAAAAAGACTGCGAAGAAATAAGAGATATTCTTCAGACAAAATTGTCTAACCATTCGCTAGATATATATCATGGGGGTCTAGATAGTAAAGATAAAAAACATATATTAGAAAAATGGGAAGATAGTAAGACGCATGTAATGATAGCAACTACTGCATTCGGAATGGGCTAAATATACCAGATGTCCGTTTGATATTACATCATACTTTTTCTATGACACTAAGTAAGTTTTTCACATATTGTTTTTTAATTTGTTGGTATTAATACTATGTTTGTTCTTGTAGCTGAACTTATACAATTATCTGGTCATGCGGGATGTGATAGGAAGCCAGCAAAAAACTTAATATTTTTTGTGGCAAAGGATTTGCGAATCAATTACTCTATAATTGCTGAAAATTAAAGGTACATTTATATTAATCATAAGTTTTTAAACATATAAGGCTATATTAACCATATATAATATATAAGTGCTAATGAAAGTATAGATCCTGTACATGAAGCATATTTGCAAACTATACAAAAAGATCTTTTTAAAGTAATAGCCTTTTGTGCAATACAATATGACTGTCGTCAGCAATTTTTGTGCAAATATCTCTGGCCCGAACTATCTTCTTCTTATTATGAATGTAATAATTGTGACAACTGTCAAAGAAGAAATGAAGAAAATCCACAACTTATTAATGCTCTCTCAGAAATTTTAGAAATATTAGAAGTAGTAGAGGCATTGACAAAAAATAATCTAATGGAAGTTTCATCTGATGATGTCATTGATGTATTTAGCAGATCAAATACTGATAAAATTCGAAAAAATAGATATAATGAGCTTATATTACAAAGAGATACGAAAGAGGTAAAGTTATACGAGGAGAAACCGCCAACAATTTTAGTTCCTAAAGAAATAGCACGGATTGCTCTAAATGATCTAGTCTGCAAAGATTTAGTCAAACAGGAAATACGGTTACAGCAATCCAAAATTACGCAATATTTGTCATGCAATACAGTTGTAACAGGAATCTCTGAAAATGCCAAAAAATGTGCAGAAAAAGAATGTTGGGAATATTGGGTATACTCACGAAAAGGAAAAAAGCAATCTAAATAATTTGACCAATGTTAGTAGCTTTCTGATTAGAGATAATAATAATAAATGTCACTGTGTAATAAACTAATTTGTTTATCTTGAATAGCATTCAAAAAAGTACATAAGTATGTAAGTACGTACAGTAAACTCTTTATAACGAACCAATGGTTCTGAAAGAGGAAAAAAAAATCCATTATAAAAAATTACTATGTTTTCTTAAAAAACATAGCTCTTATTATATCGAGCCATTATGAAATAAAATTTAGAGTTCGTTATATCTAGAGTTCGTTATAATGAGGTTTGTTATATCCGGAGTATGTATGCGTGTAAGTATGCGTGTAAGTATGCGTGTAAGTATGCATGTAAGTATGTGTGTAAGTATGTGTGCAAGTATATTATAGAACAACACAGATTGTTATATTGTAAATCAAAAAAAACTTAACAGAACAAGACCGGGCAGTCTCTATACAAGCTCTAATCTTTATATAGATATCATAATTTCTCGATCAAGTTGTATCTAGATTAAAATAGATATACATTTTACTATAGAACGTTCTAGATATGCATATGAGTATTTGATTTTCATATATGTAACAATACATTATACAAAAAATTTGCCGTTTGTTTACTATGAAAATTGATCGACATACCCTCTACCCTTAATAGAAACAAATTAGCGATTGTCTTAATAAAATTTTAAGTAAATAGCCTCTGAAACTATCCCTTAAACCGTCTCAAGTTAGCAGGCATATTTAGCTGCTAAAATGTTAAAATTGTTATGTCTGATCTATTTTTTTAAAAATTTATTA